GCCCTTGAAATTTATTTTTTAAGCCTAAGGGAAATCCTATATTGACCAATGATAAGGCTATAGCACCTGAGGGAAATTTCAAGCACTTTTGCTTGACCTCTGTACCCCTTCAAGGAAGACAACCTTCCTTGACCTCCTGCAATTCCCTGTGTGGTGCTCAGCCAGCATGTTATGGCATAAGTGCTTCTGGCATGCAGCCTGTGAGAAAAGAGCTCTTTTTTTTTTCATGCTAAATTTCTCCCAGCAAATTATCTGTTACAAATCCCTGGATTACCACAAGCAAGGGGATGAATTTGGGCCCCTAACTCACCCCTATACATAAATTAACTCAAAATAAATCAAAACCCCAAAAGTATGTCTGTTAGAACATAGGTTTAAATCTTTATGACCGTAGACGAGGCAATGGTTTTTTAGACAGGATGCCTAAAGCACAAGCAGCAAAGGAACAAATAGATAAATTGGACTTCATCAAAATTAAAAACTTTTATATGTCAAAAGATGCTATCAAGAAAGCAGAAAGACACCCCACAAAATGGGAGGAAATATTTGCAAATCATAGATCTGACAAGGATTACTATCCAGAATATAGGAAAAACTTTTACAACTCAACAACAAAAAGACAAGTATTATTTAATTTAAAGATGGACAAAGGATTAGAATAAATATTCCCCCCCAAAATAAGATATACAAATGGCCAATAGGCACCATTAGCATCAGAGAACTACAAGTCCAACCCACGAGACCCCATCTCATACTTACTGGGGTGGATGTCATTGAAAAGACAGATGATAAAAAGTGTTGACAAGAAGGTGGAGAAATGAAAACCCTCATGACACTGCTGGAGGAAATGTAGAATGCCGCAGCTGCTTTGGGAGACATTCCGGCAGTTCTTTAACGAGTTAAACATACAGTTACCACGTGACCCAGCAGTTCCACTAACAGGTATATATCTCAGAGAATGAAAACATATGTTCATGTAAAAATGTGTTTATGAATGTCCTTGGCAGAATTGTTCACAATAGCCAAAAAGCACAGACAGCCCAAATGTCCACCAACTGACGAGTGGTTGAAGAATGTGGTATATCCATAGGTATTAGTTTGCTAGGGCTGCTGTGACCAAGTACCACAGACTGGGTGTCTTATTCAACAACAGAAATGCCTTTTCTTACAATTCTGGAGGCTAGAAGTCCAAGATCAAGGTGTCAGCAGGTTTAGTTTCTTATGNGACCAGTTGAGCCTGACTGATGCGCTGCACAAAGAGCAGGACTTCTTCAAGGAACATCCACATTTCAGGTAAACCCGGTTCTGTTTTTCCAACGTCCAACCCAAACGAAAGACCTCTGTCCTTTCCAGGGATGTCCGTGCTTTCCAAAAGCAGATATTGGGGTACCTGTGTGAATGTGAATGTGATTGCTCCATGACAATGACCATGGGCTTTGCCTGGGAGACTGAAAGAGGAACTCACAAGTATGGCAAAAAATAAATTTTAAAAAATCAAATTCAGGAAGGGACGTGCTACAATAATTTAAGTAGTATGGTGCCAGAACCAGAATAAACAATGTAAATACAACAGAATGGGGAAAAAGTAGAAAACCCAGAAATAGAGCCAGAGACACATATTTAGTGTGTAATCAATGTGGCATTGAAAATCCACAGGCCATATCAGTTTGATTATCAATCAGTGGCATTGAGAAAATTGTTTAATATTTGGGGGGAAGAAAGTTAAATTGTGCCCTTATTTAACACGTTACACTAAAATAAAAAATATCGGTTGAAGTGTAAAATTAAATGCAAAGAAGAAGCCATAAGCATCCCAGAAGAAAATAGAGATGGAGAGTTTATATAATCTCATGGTAAAGATCTTTCTGACCTTAATGCGAAAGGCAAAACTTTTTGAAAAGGAAAAGGTGGATCAATCGGTTAGATTGAAAATAACAAGAATGTGGCGTTGGTGGGAAAGAAGGCGGCCCTACAACCCCTGCGTGGCATTTCGGTGCCAGGCCCGCAGGCCTTTAAAAAGTGCCTCCCTGTGGTTCTGCGTTCCAGCTCTGGGAATTCCACCCAGGAAAGGAATCAGAGCGGTTCACTCATGTCTGCCAAAGGACGTTCAGCACAGATTTGTTTGTAATGGTGAAAAATTGGGGACACTCTAAGTGCTGAAAATCAGGGAGTTTATAAACCAGAGTCAGTGCCCATGGTGTTTGCAGCCATTAGAGTGCTGTGCCAGTAAGATGCCATGACAGAGGTGCTTGTGAGATGTTAAGTGAGGCCCCTTGTGTGCCCACGGGTATGTAGGTGGAGCCCCACGGATGCTGTTGATACTGTTATAGTCAGTCCTCCCAGAAGGCTGTGGAGAGGCCGTATTCGGAATTGACAGGTGTGTAAACAGATACTTGTATACACCATTGTGCAGAGCAGCATTATTCACTAGAGCCAAACGGTGAGACACCCCAAGTGTCCACTGATGGACTGACAGATAACCATAATGGGGTGTAGTCATACGATGGAATATCAGCCTTAGAAAGGAAGGACGTGTGCCACATGTTACAACATGGATGAACCTGGAGGACACGATGCTCTCAGTGAAATAAATGGGCCACAGAAAGACATTACTGTGCGTTTCCATCTATATGAGGCCCCTAGAGAGGTCAGATTCCTGGAGACAGAGTGTAGGATGGTGGCTGCCAGGGGCTGATGGGGCTGTGTAATGAGGACAGAGTTTCAGTTTGGGGAGATGGAAGGTTCTGGAGATGATGGTGGTGATGGCTGCACAACAGTGTGAATGTGCTTAAAGCCACTGAGCTGTGCACTTAAAGATGGTTCAAATGGTAAATTTTATGTGATGTGTATTTTGCCACAATTAGACAAATTGACAGGTGTGGAAACTGAAACTTAGATGTCCATGTACTCTGTCACCAATAGGCATGTCAGCTCATGCTTTGCTGTCCTGGAAATTCCTTTAAAATGTCGAAACCCTGTCATCACTCATCCTGTGGACACAGATTTAGATTGAGTGAGAAGGCTTGGCTTCCTTTCTGCCAGCAGCCATGGCTTCAGTCCTCGTCTTGGGGGTGGGTGTGTCCCCTGGTTCAGTGATCATCCGAACACCTATGTGAATACGTGTCGATACGCTTTTATGAAGCCTTATACCGATTTGCATTGTGTATACTTATACATGTGTTACACACAGAAGGGTGTGTGTGTGTGTGTGTGTGTGTGTATGATAAAAACATATCTATAGATGACTATATGTTTTTCTAAAGACTAATTCTATAGTCAGATGCCATGAGATGCATTTAATGTATCAGCTGGAAGGGCTCATTCCGCATTTTGGAATCACCCGAAGTCACTAAAATGCAGCCACTGCGATCCACTTCTGAACATTGGTGAGGGACCATCTGGAGGACATGCCACCCAGTTGGGACTGGATTTGCCTTGCCTTGCCCGGCGGCACAAAGCTGACCAGCATTTGGTGGCTACACCAGATGGACGTGCGCACTGTCTTCTCTTGCAGGGTTCTTCTGGAGGAGGGAAAGGCCACAGTCCCCTGCCTGGCGAACAGACTGACCTCGGAGCTTATCTTTCACATCTGTGTAAGCACGCGCAGAGCTGTCCATTCTCTGGGTAGAGTCCTACACACACAAAGCTGAACCGCAGCAGCGTGCACACGCACCTCCTGGGGGCCTCGTGAAAACGCAGGCTCCGATTCAGCGGGTCTGGAGTGTGGCCTGAAACTTCCCATTTCTAGAAAGGGCCCAGGTGGGGTGCATGGTGCTTGTCAGAGGACCACACGTCGAGGGGATGCTGAGACTCTATCCCCATGGCCGAACTAAAACTTAACGGCCGAACTAAAACTTAACAGCCTTACGAGCACTGTCCAAAGTCTTCCTTTCTCGTTTCCAACCACTATCATCGTGTCTTGGTAATACATTTCATTTCTTAAATTTCTCTGTGGTCCTTTTCTTATCTGTCTGGACAGCCTCTGCTTTTTTCCCACATATTCAATCCTTTCAAGAGGATTTCATAATCCTTTTGAGTATTTCTTTGCACATATTTCTGCTGTGTCTTGTGCCTGATGACTCTAATGACAGAAGCCTACTACCTTGGGTCTGGCTGGCCGTCACAGTGACTCGGGTTAGAGGTTTGACTGTGACCCTGTCTTTCTTGGAACTTGATCTGTGGGTATTTCTGGAAGTCTGGGTTCAAGCTGCGCTTCTCCAGGGAAAAGCAGTGTTTGCTTCTGCCAGATGCCTAGAAGGGCCTCCCGCTTGAAACGCTTGAACTTCTCAGCTTGAGGTTTGGGGGACACCTCAGTGAGTGTGAATCTGAGCAGCAAACCTGTTTGAGGGCTGGCTTGTGGTTACAGATTCCCCGTGGAGATGTTCTCCCCTCCCGCTAGCACCAGAATTCAGGCATTGCTTGCAGTCCCCAGGAATGGGCTGGACTGTTAGAATGAGAGCCTCGCTGTGGCGTTCCCAGCTTTGTGCAGAACGTAGGTGCTTGCCCATTAGATTCCCCACCCGGGACAAGCCCACTGGGGATTTATTCTCCGCCCTGACACCAAGACAGGCCCTGAAACTAGAGTTCAAGTTTCCTTTCCTATGTGTGCCCTTGAGGCTGAGTCCAGCTTCCATCGTGCATCCCTGGGTACCCAATGTCGCCCGGCTTTGGCTTCCGGGTATCTCTTTTGTACCTGACAGCCCCCTGATACATTGAGAGGGGTGTTTCTAGATGTGTGCCGTGGGGCGGTCAGCCAGCACATGCAGTCTCCAGCACCGTTAGAGCCAGAAGTCCCCGGCAGCTTTCATCTCTGAACAACAACATGAACGTCGTTGAATCTCTCAAATCGCCCCAATGGCCGCTTCAAAACCCACTAGACACGTGGCTCTTTCTGACCTCCCTGCAGAGTTAATGTAACATGGTTACAGGGGCTGTTCCTGCTGTTGCTTTTCCAGGGCCCAGGAACCGGACAGAGTGGTCGCCTCAGCATGGCTCTGAGGCTGTTTGCACAGGGGCAGGAAAGTGAGAGGGCCTGGGTGGACAACAGTGTCCGTTCCTTCTGGAAAAGCTTTCTAGAAGAAGCCAGAAGTCAATGTACTACACAGCTGTCCTGCCCCTTGCAGAAGGCGGCTCAGGGCCTCCTTTTTATTCCTGGTTGACATTTATGTATTTCAATCATTTTCTCTCTATTTTCCTCAGCAAGCTCTGCCCCGGTTAGAAAATCAAATAAAGGAGTCTCAACAGAAAATAACAGAAGAGTTACATAACTATGGCACGGACATACCAGAAGACGAAAGTGAAAGAATGTTCTTTCTCATAGATGTGAGTATTGCCAATTGCATCGAGTTGAAGAATCGCATGCTGACTATATGAAAGGGGCTGTGTGCCGTATGCACTTCTTTCTCCCGCCCACCAGAAAGGAGCCAGGGTTGAGGGACGGGGGCAGGGAGGGGTGGGATGGGCCCTTCGTCATGTGACTCACCCAAGACCCCAAAGGCCTTAAGGGGAGAGTGNCCGGCCCTGGGGTCTGCCTCTTTAAGACCAGTGCCTTTAGGCAGAATCTGACTTCAGTAATGTATTGCTTAGTATCTAAATTAAGTATCTGAGAATGATGCGAATTTTAAAATTCAAAGCTTCTCTCTAAATACTGAGTATCTGTTTCTTAGTCAAGGGCTCCCTTCCCCCGCAGACCTGATGGAAGAGGAAGTTGGGTGGGCCTTTTCCTCCTAGGAGCAGAATTGACGTGTTTACGTTCCCCTTGTTTGGCTAATTTATGGCATGTCTCAGTAAATGCAAACCACAGAGATCATTTGATCAATTTGAAACATCCAAAGGGAGAAATAACACTTGAAGTCGATAAAGACGAAGGAGTGACACAGTTAGTTGCTGCTAAGTGTGATTGAGATGAATACATAACTTTTTCTTACTGACTTTAATTTCTTCCTAGTATGTCACATAGTTAAGTTTCCGTCATTTGAGGGAGGTAAGAATGTGGCCGGTAGGTGTTGCTTTCAGAGGATTTGCTGTAATGAGATAACTTCATCCTAAGTGCTGCTCAGGTTTTCTCTTTTTCCCTCTTCTCTAGCCCAGAATGCCATTGCCGGGGAAGGAATGGGGATCAGTCACGAGCTAATTAGTCTGGATATCAGCTCCCCTCATGTCCCCGATCTGACCCTGATTGACCTCCCTGGCATCACCAGAGTGCCTGTGGGCAATCAGCCAGCTGACATTGGATATCAGGTGAAACTTCAGGCTCCATTCTGACCTTGGTCTTGGGGAAATAGGGGCTGCACTAGAGCCACAGTGTATTCAGGGCTGAGTTTGACGGGTGGATATTAGGAGGTGTGTGAGTGGGCGATTCGGAGAGCTAATTGTGGTCTTCTCCATCAGGTCAGATGGAGGCTTCCCTGGAGAGTGAGGCAAACAGGCAAAACTGGAGACACATTTTACATGTTTTGTGCTTTATATAATGACTCGTTTTTGGTTATTGTCACATTTTGCACCCTGTCTAAACTGACGTGTGTCAGGAAGGGATTTTATGTGGGAAGAGGGCACATTAGAAACAACATAAGGATATTTCCACATCAGTGACTCTCACTCTATAGATTAAAGATTTAGGGAATAGTCAAGTATCTTGTGTTCCATCGTGAGCCTCAGGCTTAAGGTCTTAAGTGATAGTAAATGAGTGAAAACCTCATGGTTTTCCCTGATCCCAGAACTCTGTTTTCCTCCAGAGAACTTGGCTTCTCATAACCTCTGCTTGGGAAGTGCCACCAGGCTTGTGCTGCGGGCTCATTTATTTTAGGGAAAAACATCTAGGACTCCGAAGGCCTGAAGCAAGTACAAGGCCAGGACCTATCTCAGTTATCACACCCTCTCCTTTTCTTGCAGATCAAAACGCTCATCAGGAAATACATCTTTAGGCAGGAGACGATCAACTTGGTGGTGGTGCCCAGTAATGTGGACATCGCCACCACAGAGGCGCTGAGCATGGCCCAGGAGGTGGACCCCGATGGCGACAGGACCATAGGTAAGAAGAGGGAAAAACCTAACAATGACAGTGGTCAGAGAGTGGAAAAGCATCCCTTGACTCTAAATGGGGGTGTCTTGGCTCACACGCAGCATGGGGCGCCTGCACCCAGCTGATGAGAGCTGGTAAGGCACCAGGCTTGATGCTCACTGAGTCCTGATGACATGGGCCATGTACACTCTGCTGGCTACAAGTGGGCTCATAACCTTTGTCTACCTGCTAATAAAAGGCATGGTGGGCTCAGGGGACAGAGCAAAACCAGAAAGCAGTTATGTTAGTTAATGATGCATTTGAGGTAGGAAGAAAGGACGGACATTGGGACACATGCCACAACATGGATGGACTTTGAAGACATTACAGTAAATGAAATAAGCCGGGTACAAAAGGGCACTTACTGTATGATTCAACTTCCATGAGGTCTCTAGAGCAGTCACATTCATAGAGACAACGTAGGATGGTGAGTGCCAGGGACTGGGAGAGGGAGAATGGGGACTTAGTGTTTAATGCGGACAGAGAGTCCGTTGAGGAAGAGGGCAACTGCTGGGCCTTGTACCTGGATTCTACAAGCCCTGTGGTCTGCCCTCAAGCAAGGGTAGGAGCACGCCGCTGCCCGGGGGACTCCGAATGGGTGAGCTGTACTTCACTTCTCCCTCCTGCGAAGCTGTGAGCATCCTCTAACCAAAGGCTCCGGTTCCCAGGGATCCTGACGAAGCCCGACCTGGTGGACAAAGGCACCGAGGACAAGGTGGTGGACGTGGTGCGAAACCTCGTNTGGGCGTGGCCACCATCCCATGTGGGAGTCCAACCAGCAGCCTTGTTGTTAAGAGCGCAGTCTCTGGTGATGGCCAGTTAGCTCAGGTGGTTAGACCGCAGTGCTCATAATACCAAGGTTGCCAGTTTGATTCCCACATGGGCCAAGGAGCTGCACCCTCCACAACTAGATTGAAGACAACAACTTGACTTGGAGCTGATGGGTCCTGGAAAAACACTCTTCCCCAATAAAAAATGTAAAAAAAAAAAAAAGCAAAAAAAAGCCGCATGCTGTATCCACTGAGCCATCCGGGCGGCAGCTCAGCTCAAGGTACTGAGTTCAGTCTTAGTTGTGGGCGAGCATAGCCCATCATGAAACAGGCAGTCTTCTTGTTAGGAGCACATGTTCTCGCCATCTTAGCCATCCTGCCACCAGTTCAGCAGCAGATCAGCTCAGGCGCAGCGTCACTGGCCCATGTGGGAACCAAACCGGTGGCCCTCTTGCTAAGAGCTCGCACTCTTAAGCCGACTCTTAACCAACTGAGCCACTCGGCCAGCCCTGCTTTATGTGTTTTGTGCTTGGGGTTCATTGAGCTTCTTGGATCTTTGCGTTAATAGTTTTCATCAAGTTTGGGAAATTCTATCTATATTTCTTCAAATATTTGTTTTTTCTGTTCCTCTCCCACTCTCTTTTGAGAACTTCAATAATCTGTATTAGGCAATTGAAGTTGTCCAGTTTTGATGGAACATGACCTAAAAGCCATGACAAAATTCTCCTCTTCTGCCTCATCCAGGGGCTTGAGAATGTCCTATCCAGCGAGTATGAGGAGAAGGTGCGCCCCTGCATCGACCTCATTGACTCGCTGCGGGCCCTGGGCGTGGAGCAGGACATGGCCCTGCCCGCCATCGCGGTCATCGGGGACCAGAGCTCCGGCAAGAGCTCCGTGCTGGAGGCGCTGTCGGGCGTTGCCCTCCCCAGGGGCAGCGGTAAGAACTTGCTCTCTGTCTTAGTCAGCTTGAGCGACCATAACAAAATACCACAGAC